GGGGAGTAGGCATTGTCCAATAGCGCAGTCTGGTATCGATCCGCTGTGGGAAAGTATAGAGAAAGGGAGAGTACCGGAATGTGTGAAGGCAGGATCCTCCTATTATTCTGAACCCCTTGTAAACACAAATGGAAGGCGCCGATCGATCCGTCTGCGGCTGCGTTCGCGCCTATAGAGTTGGAGCGCTGTTGCAATTGCAACAACGTTCCAACTGTGACGCACATTACAGCGCGTGACAGCGCGTCGACGCGCGTCATAGCGAAGTCCGAACGCTGCCTTACTCGCTCCAACAACTGGTGTAGAACGGGCTGCCAGCGCGCGAAAACCTGACTCTGACACGCCCCACCATCCGCAGCGAGCAACACTTACCTATTACCTTGGGCGAATCAATAATCCCCCTAACTAAATGAACCAGTCGACAACAGCTAGGATAAAATCGATTTTGTAGGTCGTCAAAACTCGTTCGCTTCGTAATGACAGGCGAGGACACACCGGAGCCACCGAAAGAGTCGGAGCGAACATGGTGGAGCGAAGAGGAATGGAAACGTGAGGAAAGGTACCATGTCATGAACTACTGTAGAAACAGCCAAGGGCAATCCAGGGACCAGTGACTACTTAGCTGGCCATCTATTGTTTTGATCGCTGTGCGATATTCGGAAGATTGGCCAGCTACGTATGTCACCGGCGATGTTTGTCGGCGGACCGACAGAGACACCGGAACATCTCACCACTTTCAGGCAAGTTTTCTGAAGAGGGTAAGGTGTCCGGAAATGACGTAAAACGGATAGCCCCTGGCCGCAACTAAAGTTAGCCCTCATCCAGGTCAATTTTACCTCCCGACGCTTCAAGGCATGATCGGCGTAAGGAATTGGAAAAGACTGTACGAAATGCACTTCGAGAGCTCGATAAAATGGATCAAGAAGAAATTGAAGGATCCAGCGAACCACCGGAGCAGGAGGAGTTTGTCTACTTGAGTTCGGACAAACTTACTGTGGATCGTCTATCCAAGGTTTCAGATTCGATCAATTTTTCACCAGTGATCTTCATTCGGACTCAATTTTTGCGGCCAGGCAAAAACGACGGAGCTCTTCCATGCCGTTGACGACAGAAAATTCGGGAACAGCAAGGGACATTCTAGGTTGGTCGGAAGTTGCATTACGAATGAGATTTTCAACAAAATTCAAGTGATCTTCATTTTAGGCACGACAATCGCTCTCGAATGTCACAACAAACGTAACGACCTTCAATCGGGGTGAGTTCGCGCAACATCTAGCAGTTTTCGCTACCACACACGCAGATGTTACACCACAAACCGGTTTCTGGGCTGACCGGAAGTGGTCTTTTCGAGACTGAATTTTTGAACCACAAAAAAATTATACCGCTACCAAACTGATGATGACCAGAAAACTAGTAGAAATACGAAAACTCGTCCATTCAGAAACTCCGTCCATTATCATGAAGAAAAGCGGAATTCCTTGGATGTTTTTTTTCATCGGACATGTTCTCCGGAAAACCCCCTAAAGAACACGACGTAGGAGTCCCTGATAACCGTCTCATGAACTTACAGTAATCTGGCGCCTACTGGACTCACAGCCTTACGGGAGACGGACAATACAATCGTAATTTGTCGCGGCGTCGCGCGCGTCCTATCATGCCGCTGTGCACGGCAAACGTGCAATGTGTATCAGTTAGTCGGTTGGTGTAGCGGAACTCATCTGAGTTCCAAGCAAAAACACACTCCATTGTCAAGCCAAAAACCACACTCCATAACGAGTCAGTATCGAACTTCTCGACCCCAAACTCAAACGGCCAGAAGGACAACCTCTCTTCTTGGCGGCCCGTCGCTATGCGTCTCCACAAGCGCGGAATTATTTACGATTGCTTTTGCACAAACATCTCGTGTATCGTGAACGAGCTGCGCTTGACACAGGCCTTTACAATCTTGGATCCAAGCTGGTATACCCACGGAAAAGAACTATTTTGAAGGTCTGCAGAGTCACGAAGGAGGACTACGCTGCACGCAGAATAGGGCTGAAGGCCAAGAGCAGTTAGAGGCACATTCCGTTATCAGACAATGGGTAGGATCTTTCTCTTGCCCGAATAGTCCTAACCGCTACCAAGTAAAGAAGACGCTGCGGTTGCCATGAGCCAAAGGAACGCAATCCGTGAAAGTTTCCTCACCCATTTAGGGAGGAGATATGCCAATGGTTCTATATCTATGAACACAGGCGCGACGTAATGCGTTTATTCTTTGGGGGCCCAACCTTTGTCATCTTGCGAGCCTCGTCATCCTGTCCACTCATGGTTTGCCTCTGATCTCTCGCCCCTGCAACAGTGCTTCACTTCTTTCGAATACGCGTCTAATTCCGTGACCTCACTTTAGGGCATCTCCAACGGTTTGTCCATACTTTTCTCAAGTGATTAGTCAACTAGGAATCCGCGAACTCCTATTTGGACCCCAATGCCCACGAGTTGTAATCGCGAAATGCGTCCTCAAGTTACCTTGGCCAAGCCACGCCTAGGCGATCAAAACGAGACTTCTGCTCACTCATAAATGACCGGTTAAGCCGATTTGCATATGTGAACCAGCCAGCTGATTCGAATCTCACATAGAATTACTAGCACCTGGCCAATGGCCGAAGGCTAAACTCGTCAATTTCCTAGGGGCAAACTGAAAGTATGAGATTCGGCCACCCAGATTTGCCCTCTCAGACAGTTTGTACCCTTGAATCTGAACATTCGCTTGGTACATAAAGGTCTGTCATTCGCGTTGCTGGCGTCAGTGCTACGCCTCTTCGCGCCCAACCGATATGATCCTTGTATTCATGAGTCAAAATATCTCCAAAGACGAATGACTGCCCAGTTCTAACTTTCGACTCCGATTGCGTAAGTGAGGTCTTTCACCGTCAGAAGAGCTGAGAATTATTACTCCATGTTTCCTATTACCAAATGTTAGTAATTGCTGAATCGTCCACCATTTTGACTCACTCGACATTTCCTAGCGTCTGGTTCCCCTATAGCAATACGTTCACTGGTCTTCCCCACAAGTGGACATTAGGTCTGACACACTTACTGAACTCACCGGCAAATACTGTCATGGAGCCTTTCTGTTTCAGGGAAAACCGATAGTAGGGCAAATCTACAGCGATCCCTTGCCAATGAGCACCGAATCCGGAAAAACCCATCCTCCCTCATGATCCACTCATTTTCCTATTCTGGTTTTTCGAACACGAGAAAATGTTCGCTGTTACAATAATAAAAATCGGCCAGGAATCACGTGAATCACGTAGAACTCGCCAATTCGCGAAACTCGACCAGATTACGACGTATCATTGCCGGTGGGTTTTTAGCCACAGCTCGGCGCAACAAGCGAACCTACCGTCGCACGCTGGGGTTCCTGTTGCTATTGTTATATTCTAGTGTTGCTTCGCCACCAGCTACGCGCCTATTAGCTCTTTCACTCAATTTCATATATGTTGGAAGTTTTTGAATTAAACACCCTGCGTCAGCCACCTATAGTCCGTTGCAAGGCCGATTAGCTCATCAGTGCAGAATTTGCAGATATTGAAATTTGATTCTCTGTGGGAAAAATCGAAAAAGGACATTGGTACTTTTAGTCAATTTTTGGACACTGTCTTCACCAGCGTTGGGGACGCCGATGAGCGTGCCGAAAGGGCTAACGCGTGCCTGGTGGCATGCAGGCTGCAGGACATACGAGTTAAGGCAACCATAAAAATGACCCTGCCGCAAATGTTTTACTCGGTTACCATTGCTCGTAGTGCGCTTTCTGACTGAATCAACTGGGGTCGTGGAGCGAATATACGCACGAAGGGCGCTCTTACCGAGCTGCATCCGCCGCTGCACGTTGCCTCGCCATCTTCTTGCCTGCAGAAACCAATCACTCACAACATGGGAAGCTATGGAGGTATTGCACCGTCCACCTCCCCCCACCCTGACGCTCAAAGCTATTGACATGTATACCGCCACTGTCCTTCAAAACGAGAGTGGCGTGGACTGGAGCGCACCCGAAGCAGCGTTTTCCACCAATGCTGCGGGCTCAGGATTGCATTAATTGGTGGGAAAGGCTGTCGCTCTGCAAGCCCTCTAATCAGCGGCCCATCACACACCGTCTTGTTTGCAGGGGTCGCTAGCAGGGAAAGTGACTGTACGTGCAGTGCATGCGCTGCAGGCACTTCTTCAGCGATTACCGTGCAATTTAGTCATCGGGAAATCATTAAGTGAATTTCAAGGACCAAAAGAAGTGTTTTAAGAATGCTGACAATGATGAATGACCGCTAATTGGGTCTGATGGAACTTATCCAATTAACAAATTAGTGACAAAGAGACGTGTTCTTTACAAAATCACGAACTCGATCGCAAATCATAATTGACACTTGTCTTGCACGAGTAGTTCCTCTTACAAGCAGGGTACGACGCACTGTTCGGGATCCTCACTTGTCCACAACAATGCGTCCTCACCGTCGTTGGGGATCTCACCGGGGGAGGGGCGCATTTGTCGCTGAAGGGAGGGATGAGGTTCGTAGTTGCCTTTGCGAATAATGTCTTCGGTTGTGACTTCTCTCGGTTTCTTGGTTTTTTCCTTTTTCAAGTACGCTATATACACTTATCCCCTCGCACTGTAGCAGATTTTAGGAGAAAGGGACACTTTTGAAAAAAGAAAGTCTGGGAAAGTGGTGACAGGAAGCCTGGGGGAGTCGGGAATACGGAAGTAAGTGGGGAGGGGAGGGAGATAGAAGAAGTTCGAAAAGAATAGAAAAGGAAATCAAAAACCAGGAGACGTAAGGAGGAACTTCTACGGAGTAGTGCTTCGCAAAAAATTCCTCTAATGGCAGAATGTGCCCTGAAAGGAATGGGTACCCGTCTCTGAATTGGGATATAAAAAAATTTCTCTGCGCTTTTTTTTCTTATAGGCGCTGACGCGGAGGCGGATCAGGCCACTAATCATAAAATCTCTGAAAACTTGCGACTGTGGGTGCTCTAGCATGTTGGTAAAAACTACTGCCGCGATTGAATGTCAAGGGTGGTAAGTACTCAATCATGAACCAGTAGCCCATAAGTAACTGCGCAGTGAAGAAAGAGTCAAGAAGACCCACTGCTGAAAGGGGTCACCTTGAACAGAGACAACTCTCAGCAGTGGAGCCGGTGCCTTAGACGAATACATCATGAGGACAAGCCCAATCAGCAGGATTCGACGTGCAACCAAATCCCGGCAAGAGCACAGGAAATCACCCTACGACGCTCCAGGCAACGCTATGTACACACGCAATTCCGCTTGTAAGCCGTTGTCTTGCAGAGTGAAAGTAATCGTGGTTGCAATGGTTGCAATAATCACACATCTCTAGCTTCTTTATCTCGCCGTTTCGAGTGACGAAAGTGGTACATTCTCTGCGAATGCGGACACGATGCCAAATGCACGGAGGCATTTTGCGGATCCACTTGATCGCGAGAACTGTCTTTAAGGAAGGTATCGAAGCACTGTGCATGAGGACATGGTCTTCGAATTTTGTGAAGTGAACACTGTAAATGTGAATGATTGCGGTCCAAATGAAGCCTTGGGCATGACAATGGCAGTGAGCACTCTGCGAGCGCTTCCTAGCTGAATTTGTTCGATATTTGCGTTCAGGGCATCAAGTTACCCCTATGAACTTCTAAAGACGAGTTACATGGGGAGATTACGTTGTGAAGGGGGAGGGGGGGGGGGCATGTCGTGTCACAGAAGGGGCAATTTTTGAAGGGAGAGGTTGTATTTATGCAAAACTTTGAACAACGCGGTGTTGTGCTCTGGCTTTAATACAGTCTTGTTCGCCGTCGATGCCTGGGCGTGTCAGGCGTGGAGGGGAGGGGGGGGTTTGGCCGGCGGCAATCCGTTCTCCAACAGATGTGAAGACAAAATTGGTGGAAAACGGGCTATTCGTGCCAAACCCTGCTCTCTGCACGCCCCAGCATTCGCAGCAACGAGATGTACAGGACCCGCTCTCTATCTAGGAATTTTTTACATCTTTAGACGCAGTAAAGGAATTCGTAATGCTCGACCAGTCAATTGCCTCGACATGCTCATTTCGCTAGGACAGGGGCTCATTATGGCGTCTTATGATGACTGACAAGTGGTCTGGACGGCTCTTGTCGATTATTCCGCTGTCATTATGCGAGGCTCAGCGGGAGGCACCCGGCTAGGGTGAGGTGTTCGTTGGCAATCTCTATGATTGTATTGTGGTCGATTTATGTTTAAAAACGT